TTTGGTTAGCAGCCGTAGCACTTAACCACTATACCACCAGGGTTTCCCATTGCTCTCCAGACATTCCCAAATAGCAGCAACTAAGCAGTGCAGATCACTTTACAGTTTGCAAAGGCCTAGCTCCCTAAGTGCACGCCATGCAGTTCTATTTCAGAATTTCCTTTCTTAAGCACAAAGTTTCATAGGTCAATGATTTTTTAATTTAGAACTTGGTTGCACCATCAGATTCTTCTTTTTAACAAGCATTTTTAGGTAGTCCCTCGCCCGCACTCGGGCCAATTTTCTGGCCTTTTCAGCAGGCACGCTCTGATCCTGCCGTGGCCTCTCACTGCCTTCTCTGATGCCTGCTCCCCACACTTTCCAGCAGCTGGAGGTGAGGGTCTCAGGGCTCTCAGCCAGGTGTCTCCTCAGGGGCTCACCTGCTGACAGGTGTGCAAAGGTGCAAGTAGGATCTTGTCTCCTCCAGCCTTCTCCTCCGTTTGGAGGCCTGGTGGGCCCAGTGCAGGGATGTGGAGCCTGGAAGTATCTTGGAGGTGGCACTTTTTGACCAGAATGCCCTCCCCGTGCCAGTCAGGCGAATGCTTAGGCATCCTTCAAATCCTTCCCCTCCCCCTCCATTAGCGCTGCCCCCGGGTTATTTCTTCTCATGCGGAGCTCATCCAGGGCCAGGACCCCTGTTTCATGAGGTCCCTTATGTAAGTCTGTATAGTCCTGCTGGGCATTGCCATCACCGTGCTGTTTGAATGAGCGCCCGAGATGGGGGCCCTGAGGCGTCCAGGATCTGGGTTCCAGCATGGGAGAGGCAGGAGAGGCCTCTCCTCAGACAGGATGGCAACTGGCCTGGTCCAGAGTGGATGTTGTGAGGCATCCTCTAGGCCGTTACAGGCTTGGCACTGCTTTTGTGGGTAAGACAGAGGGGCCACTGGTGAAGAGAAGGCTGGACTCAGCATGAGGGACCTGGGTTCTATTTATTTTCATCTCTATTATTAAAACTGAGCCTATGTTGAATATGCAACAGCACGCAGAGCATCAGATGAGATCCAGCCTTTGCCCTGGGCCTTCGGAGGCTGGTTCTCTAGCCGCACGCTCTGTGAGTGGACCGGGGCTGTCCTTCATATTGCAGGGTGGGGCAGGCTCACCTCAGATGACTCTACCCGCTCTCCTCCTGGGTGACGATGAGTCCAACCGCCATGTGGGAGAATGGACTGCTCATGGGATGGGAAGGCCAGCTGCTTTGACCTTTGACCTTTCCAGGTCCCTGCTTGACTCATTAGAGCTCAAGGGCTCAGTCCTCTGTTGAGAAGGTCACGACATGGTTCACAGTGCTGGAAAAGCTGAGCCCCTGCCCACTACTGTGATGTCTGGAGACTTTCCATGATGAGTCTGGGGAAGTAGAGATCATAGGTGGTTGGAAGGGGATTTCAGGAAAATGGTGAAAATGGAAGTGGAAGTGTGTTCAGCCTACAGGGTAACGTCGAGGGGCCTGGGCAGATAAGAGTGCGTGCTGGGGGGTGGGTTTCACTGTTTCCAGTTGCTGTTGAGTCAATTCCAACTCATGGTGACGCCATGTGTGTCACAGTAGAACTGTGCTCCATAAGGTTTTCAATGGGTGATTTTTGGGAAGTAGATGGCCAGACCTTTCTTCTAAGATGCCTCTGGGTAGACTCGAACCCAAAATCTCTCAGTTAACAGTCAAGCATGTTAACCCTTAGCCTACTGTGCCAGGAACCATCATCCTGTGCCAGGGAACATGGGCTCCTTCCTGTTGGGCTCACACGCTTCTCCAGTTGGGTTCAACCAGGCAGGCTACCCGTGGCGTGGCTTCCCTACAGGCCCCAGGGGTGAGCTGCCAATGCCAGCACCCACACCACTGGGCTTTCATCCATCAGGACTGGGTGTGGGCTGGGACCCAGAACTTCATTTTCTTACCACTGATATTTAAAAACAAACAAAACCACGTAACTTTTCTGTATAAGAGGTATCAAAAATAAAAGGCTTGAAAGATTAAATGCAAGGCTAGGTTCTACCGTTAATTCTGTTCTTCTTCACCAGCTCACTCTTTCATATTGGTATTTTGGGGTATATTCCTAACTTTGAGATAATTGCCAAAAAGACAACAGTCCCCACCACGCAGCTGCCTGCTGGTACCCGTCAGAGGCAGGGCTGGAGGGACAGCAGGACTGGGACACCCAGGGGACCTTGTCCTGTGACAGACATGGGCACCAGTGAGGAGCATGTCCCCTGCCTGCCCTCGGCCAGCCCCTGCCAATCCAAGCCAGCGGGAAAGCTTGTGTCCACACATCCCAACAACTGGATTTTGTGCAAAGGGGTGCTCGGCCCAAGGACGCATGCCCATGGCCCGCTTGGATGCCTCGAGCTCACAGTGTGAAGTTGGGTGGAGGCAGGTAACTACTGGCTGCCACTCAGGGTCTGGGTCCAGCTCAACAGCAACTGGTTGGTTTTGCACAACCAGAATAAAGCCCGCCACTGACCCTATTCCTCAGCCCAGGCCGGCATCTTCACTGGAGCCTGACCACAGTCTAACAAGTCCCTGACCAGCTTGCAGATAGTCCTCTTCTCTTGCTCCAGCCACTCAAAAATAGGTGCTGACATACAAGCATCCCACTGTTGTCGAGTCAATTCCGACTCACAGCGACCCTGCAGGACAAAACAGAAGTGCCCCACAAGGTATCCAAGGCTGTAATCTTTGCAGAAGCAGATCACCAGGTCTTTCTCCTGCAGAGCCACTGGTTGTGATCAAAACGCCAGCAGAGTGCTTAACCATTGCATCACCAGGCCTCCTTAGAGATAAGATAATAAAACTAAAACCAAACCCATTGCCACTGAGTCGATTCTGACTCACAGTGACCCTATAGGACAGAGTAGGATTGTTTCATAGGGCTTCCAAGGCTGTAATCTTTACGGACTCAAACTGTCACTTCTTTCTCCCGTGGAGTGGCTGGTGGGTTTGAACCACCAGCCTTTCGGTTAGCAGCTGAGCGCTTAACCATTGGGCCACTACGGCTCCCTCCATACATGCATACATACTTAAAATAAAATTAAAAAAACACAGAACACAACAACACAACCCCAGCAAACCAAACACTGGTGGCCAGCTTCCTCCATGGGCCATTTCCAATTTTGTCCATTGTCCTAACAGCTGGTAGGCCTTATTGTCGTAATCAATTCCAGCTGTGCTGTCACCAGGCGTTAGTGATCAGGGGTCCCCAGGGACCTCTGAGGCTTCCCCTCCGTTCCAGCAAACAAGCATGTCATCCTTATGTTCGCACTGCTCTGACCACATTGCTCTGAACCCTCGTGGCAGAATGGTAAAGCTCTCGGCTGCTAACCAAAAGGTCAGCGGTTCGAACACACCCAGCAGCTCCATGGGAGACAGACCTGGCAATTTGCTCCTGTAAAGATTACAGCCATGAAAATCCTTTGGGGCAGTTCTACGCTGTCACATGGGGTTGCCATGAGTCGGAATTGCCTCGATGGCACCCAACAACAGCAAGCTCTAAACCAGGCAGCAGGGAAGCCCGGGGAACTGGAGGTGAGGACTTGCATTCTGCTGCTATTGAGTGCAAGCATCTCCTCTCTGGGCCATGTTTGTGTCTGGAAAATGGGGAAGGTAGCTCTGGGCAGCCCACATGCTCCAGGTAGGGAGGGATCAGTGTACCGACAATGAGGCTGACATGGGCCCATTGCCTGGCCTCAATAGGAGTGAGTATGAGACAGGGAACTGAAGACATGTCTCCACGGGCCATTGGAAAAATCCATGGAGGGTCAGGCAGGGGTCAGCACTCAGCCACACTCCAGAAAAAGCCCAATGCCCCTTGGCTGGAAAGTATGCTGCATTTGGATTTAAGAGGTCATTTTTCCTTCCTGGTGTGCATGTGTGAGTGTACGTGTGTGTGAGTGTACGTGTGTGTGCACACACGTGCAGGATGGGACTGGCATGTGCCTGGCATGCACATGGCTTTCTGCGTGTACCTTTCAAGACTGGAATGTGCAGTTCTCCATCTATGCGTGAATTGTTCTGTATACAGGGTGTGGACTTGGTGGATGAGGAACAGTCTCTAGTTCCCCATGTGTGATCCCACGTGTTGTAAGGGTTTGGGCCCACGGGGAGGATGTAGGTAAATATCAACAGAATAAAATAATTAAGTGTTGGGTAGATTACGAAGATGATATCGTCACCGTCAACTTTGTAGGGGCTGGGTATTCCTGGGCAAAAGAATGGGATTTGCTGATCTGCGCATGTCCCTTTACCCCATCCCACTGCCAGGGATGTGCCACCTGCCAGCTTTAGGAGGAAGGCTGCACCCCTGGAACAGGACCAGGAGTGGACGGTGATTGACCCTGCAGCCTTGATTTCATGAACCCCAACACCTTCCAATCAAGCAGAGGAGCCAGGCTGCAGTAATGAATAACCCATTGCCCATGAGCTGACCCTGACTCATGGCGACCCCATATGTCTCAGAGGAGAACTGGGCTCCATAGGGTTTTCAGTGGCTGATTTTTTGGGAGTAGATCACCAGACATTTCTTTTAAGGCGCCTCTGGGTGGACTGGAACCACCAGCCTTTCAGTTAGCAGCCGAGTGCTAAACCGTTTCACCACCCAGGGACTCCGGCAGTAATGACACTGCTTTGCATTTGTTTGCTCAGCTCTTTGTTGAGTGTGTTCGCCTGCTTTATTCATGCAGCTAATTCTTACTGAGCAGCTCCTTCTAGCAGATGTGGCCACGGCTGGCATGAGCAAGCGGGTGGGCTGGGAGGACAGGTGGGCTTATCCCCTTTGTCATCACATGATTGTTTGGGTCAGAACGAGAATTAGGACCTGGGGCCTGTCTGCATTGAGAGTGTCCATTCTCGTGGAGGCGTGTGCTGGCACGTGTCTTGTCCATGGACGCATCCTGAGATGGCCCTGCACCCCAGTCTTCAGGGTCCCCAGGGAGGGGCCACCAGGTGTCTCTGAGATACACTGCTCTCCTCACAGAGTGGCGGCAAGGCAGTGGGGCGAGGATGATCCTGCAGGATGAGGACATCACCACCAAGATTGAAAACGACTGGAAGAGACTGAACACCCTGGCCCATTACCAGGTGAGGGGAATGGGGAAGAGAGGGGCTTCTACCTGGACACTTCCCTACAAGTCTCAGCCTTGGAGTAACAGGATCTCTCCAAGGCAAAACAAAACCCAAACCAGTTGCCATCGAGTTGATTCTAACTCATGGCCACCTCATGTGTGTCAGAGTAGAACCACACTCCACAGGGTTTTCGATGGCTGATTTTTTGGAAGTAGATCACCAGGTCTTTCTTCCAAGGCGCCTCTGGGTGGATTTGAACCACCAACCTTTTGGTTAGCAGCTGAGAACTTTAATCATCTGCACCACCCAGGGACTTCCCAAGGCAAGACACTAAGCTGTAAATCCACTTCTTCACTGGCTCTACGTGTTCTCCTAGTGGCCCAAAAGAGATTGATGTTACCCAGCCAGGAAATCCTGGCCTCTTTGGAGACAGGATGCTGAGGTGCATACTTCCTGCAGGGTGTGGGCAGAGTCCCCAAGAAAAGGCCCTTCCTTAGCCATTCTCCTGCCTATTGGAGGCTAGGTGGTCTCCCAGGGGAGCATTGGGATAGAGAATGCTGGCAAGGAGCCCATACCAGAAGTCCCTCCAGGAGTGAGCCACAACATAGAATGTTGTTATTAGTTGTCCTTGAGTCAGCCCCAACTCGTGGTGACCCCATGTACAACAGAATGAAACGTTGCCCCGACCTATACTGTCTTCATGATCACGGTATGTTGGAGTCCATTGTTGCGGCCGCTGTGTAGTGGCTTCCAATCTAGAGGGCTCAACTTCCGCACCATGTTGAGCAACATTTTGTTGTGATCCATAGGTTTTCATTGGCTAACTTTCAGAAGTAGATCACCAGGCCTTTCTTCCTAGTCTGTCTTAGTCTGGAAGCTCCATTGAAACCTATCCTTCATGAGTGACCCGACTGGTATTTGAAATACCAGTAGCATAGCTTCCAGCATCACAGCAACACACAAGTCACCACCATACAACAAATAGACAGATGGATCAGTTTGACTAAAATACTGCTCAGCAGTTCTCCCTCTAGATCTGTGACTTCTTTCATTTAAAGGAAGGCTCGTGGCCTCCGAAGTCTCCTGGTTCTCCAGCGAGGTGCCTGTTGCCCCCTAGGATGCTGACTGTGTTCGTTTTCTGGGGTGGCAGAGTTCCTGTGCCCATGCCCTTAGATGGCTTTTTCCTATAGGTGCCAGATGGTTCCGTGGTGGCCTTAGTGTCCAAGCAGGTGACAGCTTATAATGCAGTGAACAACTCCACAGTCTCCAGGACCTCAGCCAGTAAATATGGTAAGATGTGATGGGGTCGTCCTGGGGAGGAGGGGCTGTCCTGGGCTCAGGACGGCAGCACAGCTGGAGTGCAGCGAGCAGACCCCAGCAGACACGGGGGTGGGGCGGGTCCATCAGATAGTGGGACCATGAGAGGGGAGAACCTGACTGGGGACAAGGCCTCCTGGCCTGAGACCCTGATGCAGAAGCAGCACCTCCATCCCTGAGAAACAGAAGATCTCACCTCTGAGTGTCTCACAGTCTAGAATACACTTTCACCTCTGGGATTTTCATCATCTCAGATCATGCTCACAACAACCCAGTGAATTAAATAATTACTACTTCCCCCTATTATGCAGATTAGTAAATTATAACTCAGAGGCACAGAGGCTAAGTGACTGGCGAAGGTCACACTGTGAAGAAGCGTTGCGTGAGGTGTGCTCCCAGGGCTGAAGCATCTGGGCTGGAGGGGAGAGGCCCAGATGTGGGTAGAGGACTGGCGGCTGCCCATTCTGCCCGCACCCATGTGCTCGGGGCAAGTCACGTGACCGCTGTGAGCCTCAGGTTTCTGATCAGCAAAACGGAGATTGAAAAACCTACCCCTCTCACAGGTGCATTCTGGATAAGGTATAGAAAAACATCTAACTCTGTGCCTGTGCACAGTAGGGCTGGCTCTTTCTTTCCTGCTCAGTCCCCACTTCACCCGCCCCACCAACAAAGGCAGGAGTCTCAGCGCATCAGAGCCGGCACAGGTCAGAGGGTAGAAGGCAGTGAGCAGGTGACAAGGTGATGACGAAGCTGGCCCACACTTATTAAGGGAGACGGGCTACCTGCTCTCAAGTAGAGATCTAATTGGCTACACAGACCTCATCCTGAGAAAGGACTTAAGAACGTGTACAAGGAAAAGTGTAAAACAGTATAAGCTGATGTTTTTACAAATTGAGTAATTAAGGGGTAACGAGGTGCGGCGTGCAGGAGGGCGGGGATCTGAGGGGGTGGAAGTATTCACAGACAGTTCCTGGGGTGGTGAATTTCACTGGAGACAGAGGGAGAGGCTCCCAGACCCAGGGAATGTACTAGACCAGGCAAGGGGACAGCTCCAGCTAGTTGCACAAAGGGGCAGAGGCGAGCTGACCTCACCAGAGCAGGGTGTGTCTTGTGAGTTAACGGGCTGGAAGCCGAGTGGCTGACGCATGTGGGGTCATCGCCTCGGCAGAGAACATGATCCGGTACACGGGCAGTCCCGACAGCCTCCGCTCCCGCACGCCCATGATCACCCCCGACCTGGAGAGTGGAGTCAAGATGTGGCACCTGGTCAAAAACCACGAGCACGGGGACCAGAAGGAGGGTGACCGGGGAAGCAAGATGGTGTCCGAAATCTATCTGACCCGACTGCTGGCCACCAAGGTACCGGACTTCAGAGCAGAGCATGGGAAGGTGGAGGGCACAGGAAGGGCCTTCAACACCCCACAGTAGTGCCAGAGGGGACAAAGAACTAGCATTTGTGCAAGGACCCACACTGTGATCCTCCACAGTAGGCACTGCTAATCCGTCCCAGTACCCTTTGCCAACCTACATCCTCAGAATCCTTCTTAACCCAGTGCTCCAGGCAAACCCTACAACAAATCCACATAGGCATGCAAGCTTAAGCTTTGTTTCCTTCGCTTCTCTCGACACTCACCTTATAAAAACATGACTTCATTTCTGGGGGTCATACACAGTCTCTAGCAATGGACACAGGGGCTCCATCAGTGAGTTCCCCGGCACTGTTGCTAACCCTGGTTCTGGGACAGTTGGTGCCTGCAGCTTGTCTTCCCCTCCTGAGGCTGGGCTCGGCGCTGCTCTCCGCAGAGCCTAATGAGTAGCTGTTCATTAGCCCGTGCGAACAGTGCCTCAGCAGACCACAGATTGTGTTTGTCTGCTCTGACCCAGCGAGCTGTTCGTTGGCACCCGTGAAGAGCCCTAAAATAACACCACCGCAGGTGTTAAACCAGACTGGGATGTTGGCAGAGGAAGGCTTACTGGGTCCAGTCCTCACTGTTGGATCTGTCCTCCATGTGTGGGGAAAATTAAAGCAGTTAAAGAGACAGAGGAAAGGGGGTAGAAGAAAGATTTAATGAGTGGACTTACCTGTTCACCCGAGGAGGCCGGACTGGACACGACCCTCCTGTCCCCAGGCTGTGAAGCGGTTTTTAACTGGCCTCAGAGGTCTGGCTGAGCCGGGTCTGACCTGTCCTCCTCCCAGGGCACTCTGCAGAAGTTCGTGGATGACCTCTTCGAGACCATCTTTAGCACAGCGCACCGGGGCTCGGCCCTGCCCTTGGCCATCAAGTACATGTTCGACTTCCTGGATGAGCAGGCAGACAAGCACGGCATTCACGACCCACATGTCCGCCACACCTGGAAGAGCAACTGGTGAGTGACGGGAGTAGGGCGCCCAGCATCCAGGAGTCCCCGGGAAGCCAAGCGTTTCTAAGCCCACCTCCACCAGCAGGGACGTGGAACAGGTGCTCTCTCTGGCCCTCCCCATCCTCTCCCACTAGCTTTGTGCATATTTCCTCTCTCACTTCCTATTCGTCAAATCTGTTTGTCCATTCTTCCTATCAATCAGTCAGCAAACATTCATTGAACCAGCTAAATGAGCAAAAGAATAATATGACAGAAATGACAGCCAGGCCACCCTCAGTCCAGGTGCCCCCTGTGTGCCTGGCCTTCTGCTAGGCACTGAGGGTGCATAGATGGATAAAACATGGTCCCTGCCCACCATGGGCTGATAGACGAGGGTAAGAGACAAGGAAGTCAGCTGTTTGGACCGAGAGATAAATGCAACAATAGAACGTGTGTTGTGTGCAGCCAGACTGGACAGGAACTACATCTAATGGTGACCTGAGGAGCCTTCTAGGTAAACGAGGGCTATTTCCATCCTATCCAAGAAACTATGCTCTTCCCTTCCCGCAAACTCCTTTTCCAAACTCCCTTTGGGGAAGAGACCTTCCCATAACTACGCTGTCTTTGAGACAGCAGGGTTCTCCAATTACTGAGGGGCACTCTGGTGTTTCCACGCCTGTCTCCTCTCCACCTTTAACATACTTCATCCTTCCCCTGCACTCGGGTGTGATTTGTGTCCCAGGTTGAGATGCAAGCTCAAACGTTCTCGCTAAACACATGGTATGAACCCTGCCTGAGGTGGGACTCCTTAAATATTGATGAAGGTGCAGATCCAGATGGTCTATATTTGAGAGTTCCACCTCAGGCAAAGCTGCTTATATTTAGTCCCATTGGTTCCAGAATTGTCTCCCTTCGCTTTTAAATGATCCCTGTTCCAGGTTGTTCTTTCCCAGGTCATTATTCCCAGGCAGCGTGGGCTGGTTGCCCAGTGCTTTCCAACTGCATGGATGTGACCCTAGGGCACAACCAAGCACCCTGAAAACTAGCCCTGGGCTCTGAACCCAAATACATATTAAGGTGGAATTAAGGCTGGGGAATTGCAACTTTATTTAACGTCAAATGTTCTGACTCCTGGTCTCCTTCACTTGAAGAATGATGCTCTCTCTACTGAAACTGGAAAACCTGGCAGGAATACAGGTTTGGATTGTAGAACTGAAGAGTGGGGTTTGCACCCCCATTACCTTTTGGGTGATCTTCCTTTGTGGAGTTCTGAAATAAAACAGTGAGGATCTGCAGTCCTCATTGGAAGCAGCAGTACTGGCTGAAGCCTGTTCCCTCTTGTGGAAGTCCTGCCTAGATCTGTCTCTCTCAGTGCCTGCCTCTAGGTACCATTGGGTTTTATTCTCCCAGGCTTCTTCATGGAACACATAAACATTGATATCCTAGGCACTCGTGAGCTGAAATGGACTGGGATTTGTCATTTTGAATCAATCATATGGTCTACTATGCCAGGAGTGACAACTTGAAGAGGAATGGCGTTGCATTCATCATCAAAGAGAACATTTCAAGATCCATCCTGAAGTGCGATGCTGTCAGTGACAGAATAATATCCATACACCTTCAAGGAAGATCCATTAATACGACTATTATTGAAATTTACGCACCAACCACTAAGGCCAAAGATAAAGAAATTGAAGATTTTTACTAGCTTCTGCAGTCTGAAATTGATTGAACATGCAAACAGGATTCATTGATAATTACCGGTGATTGGAATGAGAAAGTTGAAAACAAAGAGGAAGGATCGGTAGCTGGAAAATATGGTGTTGATGATAGAAACTATGCCGGAGATCAAATGATAGAATTTTGCAAGACCAACAACTTCTTTATTGCAAATACGTTTTTTCACCAACATAAACGGCAACTATACACATGAACCTCACCAGATGGAATACACAGGAATCAAATCAACTACATCTGTGGAGAGACACGATGGAAAAGCTCAATATCATCAGTCAGAACAAGGCCAGGGGCCAACTGCGGAACAGACCATCAATTGCTCCTGTGCAAGTTCAAGTTGAAACTGAAGAAAATTAGAACAAGTCCACAAGAGCCAAAGTAGGACCTTGAGTATATCCCACCTGAATTTAGAGACCATCTCAAGAATAAATTTGACACACTGAACACCAATAACCAAAGACCAGACGAGTTGTGGAGTGACATCAAGCACATCATACATAAGGAAAGCAAGAGATCATTAAAAAGACAGGAAAGAAAGGAAGGACCAAAATGGATGTCAGAAGAGACTCTGAAACTTGCTCTTGAATGTCGAGTAGCTAAAACAAAAGGAAGAAATGATGAAGTAAAAGAGTTGAACAAAAAATTTTGAAGGGTGGCTTGAGAAGAGAAAGTAAAATATTATAATGACATGTGCAAAGACCTGAAGATGGAAAACCAAAAGGGAAGAACACGCTCTGCATTTCTCAAGCTGAAAGAACTGAAGAAAAAAATTCAAGCCTCAAGTTGCAATATTGAAGGATTCTATGTGGAAAATATTAAACGACGCAGGAAGTATCAAAAGAAGTTGGAAGGAATACACAGTCACTATACCAAAAAGAATTGATTGATGTTCAGCCATTTCAGGAGGCAGCATATGAGCAGGAACCAATGGTACTGAAGGAGGAAGTCCAAGCTGCCCTGAAGGCATTGGCAAAAAACAAGGCTCCAGGAATTGACAGAATACAAATTGAGATGTTTCAACAAACAGAAGCAGTGCTGGAAGTGCTCACTCGTCTATGCCAAGAAATATGGAAGACAGCTACCTGGCCAACTGACTGGAAGAGATCCATATTTATGCCTATTTCCAAGAAAGGTGATCCAACCGAATGCGGATGTTATCGAATAATATCATTAATGTCACATGCAAGTAGAATTTTGCTGAAGATCATTCAAAATCGGTTGTAGCACTGTATTGACAGGGAACTGCCAGAAATTCAAGCTGGATTCAGAAGAGGACGTGGGACCAGAAATATGATTGCTGATGTCAGATGGATCCTGGCTGAAAGCAGAGAATACCAGAAAGATGTTTACCTGTGTTTTATTTACTGTGCAAAGGCATTTGATTGTGTGGATCATAACAAATTATGGATAACATTTTGAAGAATGGGAATTCCAGAACACTTAATTGTGCTCATGAGGAACCTGTACATAGATCAAGAGGCTGTCGTTCAAACAGAACAAGGGGATACTGCATGGTTTAAAGTCAGGAAAGGTGTGCATCAGGGTTGTATCCTTTCAACATATGTATTCAATCTGTATGCTGAGCAAATAATCTGAGAAGCTAGACTATATGAAGAAGAACATGACATCAGGATTGTAGGAAGACTCATTATCAACCTAAGATATGCAGATGACACAACCTTGCTTGCTGAAAGTGAAGAGGACTTAAAGCACTTACTGATGAAGATCAAAGACCACAGCCTTCAGTATGGATTACACCTCAACGTAAAGAAAACAATCCTCACAACTGGACCAATAAGCAACATAATGATAAACGGGGAAAGACTTGAAGTTGTCAAAGATTTCGTTTTACTTGGATCCACAATCCACACCCATGGAAGCAGCAGTCAAGAAATCAAAAGATGCATAGCATTGGGCAAATCTGCTGCAAAAGACCTCTTTAAAGTGTTGAAAAGCAAAGATGTCACCTTGAAGACTAAGGTGCACCTGACCCAAGCCATGGTGTTTTTCATCACTTCATATGCGTGTGAAAGCTGGACAGTGAATAAGGAAGACCGAAGCAGAATTGAGAACTTTGAGTGTGGTGTTGGCGGAGAATACTGAATATACCATGGACTGCCAAAAGAACGAACTGGTCTGTGTTGGAAGAAGTACGATCAGAATGCTCCTTAGAAGCAAGGATGACAAGATTACGTCTCACATACTTTGGACATGTTGTCAGGGGTATCAGTCCCTGGAGAAGGACATCATACTTGGTAAAGTAGAGGGCGAGCGAAAAAGAGGAAGACCCTCAAGGAGATGGATTGACACAGTGGCTGCAACAGTGGGCTCAAGCATGACAACAATTGTGAGGATGGCGCAGGACTAGGCAGTGTTTTGTTCTGTTGTATGTAGGGTCGCTAGGAGTCGGAACCGACTCGACGACACCTAATAACAACAACAGGCTTCTTCACGTGACTCCCGGAGTTGTTGGAAGGGGCACATCCCAGCCGACCCAGTCTGCCCTCTCTGTCTGTGAGATTCTGCCTTCTTCCTACTGCTTTGGAATACAAGAATGCTCTGCCCAGACCTTCTTTTCTTCCTAACTGGTTGTCATTAGCTGCCATTGAGTCAGCCTCCAACTTATAGCACAACAGAATGAAACGCTGCCCAGTCCTGCGCCATCCTCATGATTGGTTACAGATCAGATCGTTGTGGTCTATAGGGTTTTCATTGGCTGATTTTTAGAAGTAGATCTCCAGGCCTTTCTTCCTGGTCCATCTTAATCTGGAAGCTCTACTGAAACTTGTTCAGCATCATAGTAACATGCAAGCTTCCACTGACGGATGGTGGCTGGGCTTGAGGTGCCTCGGCCGGAAATTGAACCCCAGTCTCCCGCATGGAAGGCGAGAATTCTACCACTAAAGCACCCCTTCCCCTAACAGGGTAGAGTTGTGTATTTCCAAAATAGCCGTAAGTTCTCTTAGAAGCCAGTATAGCTCATTACAGGTGCATCACCTGAAATGGCATCTAAACATTTTGTTTTCCACCCACACCTCCTGCTGGAGTGAGGGCATCTCCAAGGATCCCTAACATCCTTGAGGTAGTGGAAGATCCTCTTTCCACGCCAGCTGCTCTTCCAAGCAAGCACTCGGCATTAACTGCTGAGAACTTGAGTGTCAAGTGAAGGCAAGGAGCCTTCCCCTGACCCCAACTGGTTGCTACCCTGAACAAGAAGCAGTTAGTCCAGGAATGATGAGAATCTGCATATTGACTTGGACTTGATTGTCCTTGCTTGAGAAGAGGAGGTTTCTTTATTCCTGGCCAAGTCGTGATTCTACCTCTCCCCGCCTCTCCCCCACAGTCCCCTACCTTTTCTCTTTTAAATAAACCTCCTGCTCATTTAGCCTGAGTGGCTGCAATCAACCAGAGATTAGTGCCACCACTAATGTTAATAATATGCTAATATTTCATTAGGCAGGCGCCTCAGGTGCTGAGTGGCTTCCCGTTTGATTTTCTTGTCAGCACTGCTGGCTTATGGGGTGGTGGTGGGGGGAACAACAGGACCACGAATGTGGAGTCCAGAATCCCTTTTCTGGTCGTGGTCCTTGCTGTTGTTAGTTGCCGTGGAGTCAACTCCAACTCATGGTGTCAGAGTAGAACTGCCTATAGGGTTTTCTTGCCTGTAATCTTTATGGAATCAGTTCACCAGGCCTTTCTTCCGTGGAGTCGCTGGGCTTAGGTTGTGGGATGTCCAGGTGGTCCTTTGGGAAAAACCGGAAGCTATGGAAAGGAGACTTGGTTAACTGGGAAGCCAGGATTCTCTCATTCAGGAAGCCTAGGTAGCTGCGTGACAGTGGCCACAGCCCTATCTAACAGGCTCTGCATCTCCTGGATTTTCATGGCCCCTGGAGGTCCCCATTCTTTCCTACCCTGGATTTATTATGATGAAACAAATGCTCCTGGAAACTGTCAAACCTCAGTGCTTTTCTGCCCACGTCCCGTGCTGCACACGTTGTAGGAACTTAATACATGCTTGGTGATGGATTGGCGATCTTGGCTGTTAGGTCTGATGGTAGTTATAGCATATGTGTATCCTGGCTGCTGGGAAAGACAGCGGATGTAGAAATATTTTACTTGCTGTATTGAAATCATTTCATTCAAAGAGTTCAAGTTTTAAGGGGCAAACCAAACACATAAGAACATTACAACTATTACCAACAGCGAGAACAGCAACCTGAACAACAGTAACTCAAGAGAAAATGGCAGAAGTTAGAGATGGGCGGAGGGGAGGACAGAAGCCATCCCTTGCTTGGCTCTATCTGTGCCTCCTAACCTGGGTCTCAGCGGGCTAGGTGGCACCCGTAGAATGGGAAAGCCAGCTGAGGAGAGGGGCAGTGAGAGGGACAGGGGGACAGGTTTCTCCCAATGCCCAGGTACCCTTTCTAGTGACAGATGGCGTGAGTTACATCTATGCTGATTCGCCCACCTGCAGTAACATCCTCTGCCCCTTCCTCCAGGCCTCACCCAGCTGAGGAGCACCTATGCATCTTTTAAACTCAGGCCATCAAGTGCCATCCCTCTCTGGGAATGTTTTCCGGACCCTTCCCCTCTGGGTGGACTCGATGACACCTCCCTGTGTCTCACATTGAGTCCTGTGCAGGCTTCCATCCTAGCACCTGCCATCCTCGGACACGATGCCCGGGGCTGCATGGCTGACTTCCCCATGACCCCCCACCAGAAGGCAGCTTCTGGAGGGGAGAGAGGGAGTCTTTTCCATCACTGCATCCCCAGCTCCTAGCAGAGGTCCTGGTGCAGTGAGTGCTAACCGGAAGAAGGCAGGGCGGGGAGAAGAAGGAACACAGTGGGGAAGAAGAGGGCCGAATGTGGGTTTTTAAGGATGCCCGCTTAGAGACAAGAAGCCTGCAACAGTTAGCTCAGTTCAACCACTCGGCCCAGTGCTGTGGCCAAGCAGGAAGAGGCTGACGTACCCAGGCGGGGAGGGAGGAAGCCCCTGCTTCCGTCCATACAGTGACTGGCAGAGAATGAGATACGAAGAATAGATTCCAGGCTGCTCCTTAAAGTTTGCCAACTTGATGCTCCTTGTACTGGGCACGGGGCAGACCGTGGGATAGTGAGGAATCCCGCTGGGTAGCACACATCATGGCGCCTCTCTTCCCAAGGCCTTTTGGCATCAGCTGATTAGGAGCCCTGCAGGCAGACAATGGGTGTCAAGCCCAGCTCCAGCCCCTACCTACAGTGTGTCTCCGGATGGATTATTCAACCTTGCTGAGCCTCAGTTTCCTGGAAAGTAAGCCGGAGCCCATCAGAGCTGCCTCATCCCCCATCTTTGACACGGGTTGTTATTAGTTGCTGTCCAGTTGATTCCGACTCATGGCGGCCCCATGTGTGCAGAGTAGAACTTCTCCATAGGGTTTTCAAGCCTGTGGCATTTGGGAAGCAGATTGCCAGGCCTCTCTTCCAAGGCACCTCTGGGTGGGTTCAAACTGCAACCTTTCAGCTAGCAGTCACTGTTTACCTGTTTGTGCCACCAAGGGACTCCTCTCTGGCACACAGAAGGCTCTTAAGAGCTGCACGTTCCCTGCCTTCTCTGTCTCTCCAAAGAACTGCCTCAGCAAAGCCACAGCCCCGCTGCCCTGCTCCCCTGACGTTCTGCCTCGCTCTTCCCCCCATGCAGCCTGCCTCTGAGGTTTTGGGTCAATATGATCAAGAACCCGCAGTTTGTGTTCGACATCCACAAGAATAGCATCACGGATGCCTGCCTCTCGGTGGTGGCCCAGACCTTCATGGACTCCTGCTCCACATCGGAGCACCGGCTGGGCAAGGACTCACCCTCCAACAAGCTGCTGTATGCCAAGGACATCCCCAGCTACAAGAGCTGGGTGGAGAGGTGAGTGTGTGCTGGCGGCCGAGTTAGGGCCTGTCTCTGAAGCAGGCAACTTCCCTTGACAAGAGATCCCCTTCCCCAAATGGGCTGGTGCTCACAGGCTGGTCATTCATGGAGCCTGATGCTGTGATCACAACCCACGCCCCTGGCAGTCCTGTCAGCCAAGACAAGAACTGGGAAACTTACTAGAAGTTGGCACGGAGCTCTGCTTCTCCGCATGTTGGTGTTAGGTGCTGTCAAGGCGGCTCCGGCTCACGGCCGCTCTGCGTCTAAGTAATGCTACATTGCCTGGTCCTGTGCTATCTTCACCGTCATTAGTATATGAGCCCATTACTGCAGTCATCGTGTATTTTGAGTGTCTTCCAGCCAAGGAAGCTCATCTTCCATAACAATGTCCGACAATGTTTTGTTGTGATCCATTCGGTTTTCATTGGCTCATTTTCAAAAGTAGATCACCAGCCCCTTCTTCCTAGTCCGTCTCAGTCTGGAAGCTGTGCTGAAACCTGTCCACTATGGGTGACCCTGCTGGTATTTAAAATACTGGTGGCGTAGCTTCCAGCATCATAGTAACATGCAAGCCAACACAGAACGACAAACTGACAGACAGGTGGTCAGTTCTACACATGAAAGGCCCTGAATCTTAGTGGCTGCAATGCCTGCTAGGCCCGGGAGGGCTATAGGGTTCCCAACCCCCACCAAAGCACACACACACGCACGCACACAAACACACACACATATCTGTTCTTGTTGTGTGCTGTCGAGTTGATTCCGACTCGTAGTGATCTCATAGGTCAGAGTACAACTGCCCCATAGGGTTTCCTAGGCCATAATCTTTATGGGAGCTGATCACCAGGTCTTTTCTCCCACAGAGTCACTGGTGGATTTGAACCACTGACCTTTCAGTAAGCAGCCAAGTCCTTTAACCATTGCACCACCGGTGCTCCTTATATATGTGTGTGTGAGTGTGTGTGTGTGCTCACAGGACTTAAGCGAGGGACAGAGTAGCATGTTGCCACAGAAAGGCTGGGGCCTCCACCTGTTCACAGTGGTCTGTCCACCTGGCATTTTCCCGGCATTCCCTGTGAGTGTTGCGGTCATCTCTGGACAGCATCTCCCTGTCCCGCCCCTCAACCCCCACACGAGGAGGTCTGGGTGCCATGGCCCTGCAGTCCTTTCTCAGTCACAGTGGCCTGGTCTTCTCACAAGCTCCCGCCACCCACCTGTGACTGCAGGCCAACCTGCGCACTACGGGCTGAGTTTTCCTCAGTGCAGGGTTAGCTCACGGGCCACATCGGCCCATCACCAAGCACCTGAGCGAGGCAACCTGGGTGAGCCTTACTTACTACAGTGACCCTGTGCTCTCAGACAGTGGGGATCACAATCCTGACTTTACATACATGAAGGTGAAGAAATGGGCACCTCGAAGATGGTTACGTAATCACCTAAGATGACATAAGTGGCTGAGATGAAACCAGACCCCGGCCTCTAGGCTGACTCCTAAATCTTTTTCCCACTATTTAAAATACTTTTCCACTGGGCCTCTGCAAACCCATATGGTGCCTCCATGTGAATTAAGGAAGGTGTCCCTTCCCACACAAGGATGTAGCCCTACACCAGAGTGCACAACATAACCCCACACCAGGGCCTGTGATGGCCCCACACCAGGGCCTGTGATGGCCCCACACCAGGG